AATTAAACGAGTTGACAGGCTTCAGGGGGAAGCACGTTTAACAGAGGGAGATTGGAAGAAGGGAGATGAAGCACAGCATACCCGGTTCAGAAGGGAGTTTCAGGTGTATGGGCCCACATGGAAAAAGGTGAGATGAGGAGCCTGGGAAGGATACAACAGAAGTGGTGAGACCTGCAGCCTTTCAGAGCAAAGGCACTGTGACAGGGTCAGGTCAGATGGCTACAGGAGAGTGTTCCTATTGGGATCCAGGAAGTGGGTGGGCGGAAGCCCGCCCACTGCTAAAGGATCCCTCCCCGCAGCCTAAGACGGGGATCCACAGGACGTGGAAACCAAGTAATTCCGGGGGACAACTAATGAACTAACAGGGACAGGAGTGCGGTCAAAGGGTCAAACGAATTGAACCAGACAGGGACACCAAGCAGAGAACCCCAGACAGCACCCACTGCTCCTCGAAGGCATCAAGGGAGTCAGTGGACGCTGCCCAGAGGAACTCTGCCCAGACACGTAAACAGACGGAGGCTACAGGATTGTGTTAGAAGGCAGATATATTAGTCCCAGATTAAGCAGGTCAATTTTCCCTGCGTAAGATAACAACAGCAGTTCCAGAACAAGAAGGAACTTGCTGGAACAAATTCAGGCCAGCAGACTAATTAGGACACCTAGAGCCAATTAAGAAGCTGCTAGAATCAGTTAGGACAGGCTGGCTAATCAGGGCACCTGAATTTAAAAAGGAGCTCAGTTCAGTTTGTGACGTGCGTGCAAGGAGCTGGAGCAAGAGGCACTAGGAGCTGAGTGAGAAGGCGTACTGCTGGAGGACTGAGGAGTACAAGCATAATCAGACACCAGGTGGTGAGGATAAAGAAGGTGTTGGGAGGAGGCCATGGGGAAGTAGCCCAGGGAGTTGTAGCTGTCGTACAGCTGTTCCAGGAGGCACTCTAGACAGCTGCATTCCACAGGGCCCTGGGCTGGAACCCGGAGTAGAGGGCGGGCCCGGGTCCCCCCCAAACCTCCCAACTCCTGATCAGACACAGGAGGAGTTGACCTGGACTGTGGGTTCCACCAGAGGGAAAGGTCTCTGGGCTGTTCCCCGACCCACATGGTGGGTCAGCAGAGACTGCGGGGATTGTTCTTCCTTTTTCCCATGCTGGCCAGTGATGAAGTTAGATGAGTTAACGGCAGGTTTGTGCCACTAGCAAAAGTGGCCAAACTGAGGGCTGCTGTGAATCTCTGAGGCAAGCAACTCCGCCAATAAGCGCAGGACCCACCAAGGCAGAGGAGAAACTTTGTCACAGCACCCAAGTGAGGAGTGACGATAAAGCTTGAGCAAAAATGTCCAGAGGTGGCCACTGAAAGGCAGCATTTGGTAATCATGATATTTTTTTCCATTATACGTAGAAGAGGAGCTATCTGTGGTATGTTTGCAAATGTTGATTTTTTTTTAATTGCAACCAGTAGGGGCATAAACCAAGCTTTGCAGAGGAAAGGACTGATAGACTATGAATGCTGTTTTTCCTCTTGGTTTCAGTTTCTTTGATATATTACAGTATTGTGCATGCATGTATATGCATAAACACACAGAGAGAAAGAAAGAGAAAGAGACTATGTTCTTATTTGAACTCAGGTTGCATCATTTTCACAGCTGTGTAATTTGTTTTTATGTATAGAGCTGGGTTCAATCTCTATTTTTGTGTGAACTCAAACATAATGGATTCAGTAATCTTTGTGTATTAAAATGCATGAATTCTCCATGCAATGGATATATTTGGGGAAATGTATTTTCTTGAAACATTTGATACAAAGACTTCATATTAAGTATCTAGTTCTTGTGATCTAGAAAATCTAGAATGAAGCTGCTTGGAGATTTTTTAATTTGAAAAAATAGCTAGTAAAAAAACAGCTATTTATAAGTTTGGGGTTTAAGAAAAAGATTTAGAAACCTGAAGACTCTACTAATTTACCAATCAATCCTAACCAGGATTTGTTCTCTGTTCTCAGTACTGCAGGATGCATTTAAGTAATGATTCCTATCAATTGTCCAGCAGTATCTAACCAGTGAGCAGTGAGTCAGCTAGTGGTCAAATTGAGGTTATCATCATACTAAGGACTAGGAATTAGAGACATGTACTATAGATAATGAACTGGCAGTAATCCTGGATAACTGTATCAAGGAAAGACTATTCTTTAAAACCATACTGATTATCATGTGGTTTATGATTTTATTTCTATCTTTTTTTAACTTTAAAACTCAAAATGATTTCCCCGTTGGTTCATTCTTAAATGTTAAAACCAAGTGATTTTGTCCCAACTAACAACACGAGTAAATTCCTGCCCCAAAACACAGATGATTGAGGCATGTAGACAAATCCTTTATCCCCCACTATAACAAGAAACATCATTGGAGCTACGCAGCATATCTATCCTACAAAATACACTGGCCCTTCCCTTCTTAAATTGTGAGCATGGGCAAAGGTAGAGGCAAATAGCTCCAGTAAAATGAATGTATTTTATTTTTTCCTGTTAGTTTAATGCATTCAGTTTTAGTTTTTGCATGTTATCTTGCCACTATCAAATTAAACTCCCCTTAATACTCACTCATTCACTCCTCTCTAACTGCTCATAGGCACACCACAAAGCTTAGCACTGAATGACAAACTATTCTCATCAGCTTGAGGATGGAGAGTTGGCTTTAAAATGGTCTGCTGTTTAAAGTGAGTTTATGCAAGCCAAGTTGTTTCAGGTAGAGAGGGTTGTGATCTAGAGATCTGAGCACAGGACTGAGAGTCAGGGACTCATCTATTCTCATCCTGGGTCTGACCCCCTCTGGGGCCTTGGGCTAGTCATAGAAGCCCTGTGCCTTAATTTCCCATATTTGTAAATCAGGGTTAATTCTTTCTTGCCAACCTCAAGGTGTGTAGCAAGAATAAATTAGGCATCAGTCCTGCAAGCACAGGGCACACATGAGCAATTTTACATATCTGAAGTCCCACTGAAGTATTTGCAGGATCAGGGCCTTGTGGCCTTATCCAGAAAGCGAGACCCTACAAATCCCATTGTCTTCATTTCAGCACCTCATAAGAACGGCCATACTGGGTCAGACTAAAGGTCCATCTAGCCCAGTATCCTGTCTTCCGACAGTGGCCAGTGCCAGGTGCCCTAGAGGGAATGAACAGAACAGGTAATCATCAAGTGATCCATTCCCTGTGGCCCATTCCCAGTTTCTGGCAAAAAGAGGCTAGGGACACCTGGCGAATAGCCATGGATGGACCTATCCTCCATGAATTTATCTAGTTCTTTTTTGAACCCTGTTACAGTCTTGGCCTTCACAACATCCTTTGGCAAGGAGCTCCACATGTTGACTGCATTGTATGAAGAAATGCTTCCTTTTGTTTGTTTTAAACCTCTCAGGGTCAGGCCTTTACTTTACAGTAAAGAACATGAATGATGATGTGTAAGTGTTAGATAGTTAAATTGGACATGTAATAAGCAAGTGGTATTCCTGTTAAGCATATGTTTTCCAGTGATTTTATATGGAATATATGTAGTAAAATCAATACTTTTATGCATTTCAATTGAGCAACATAGAAAAAGCAAAGGTCACGATATCCTGAAGAAGCTAAGGCACGCTGAAGATGTTAGTATTTCTGCCTTACTCTTTCTTAGCATGTGTGTGTTTTGCTTTCAGGTCTCAGTCTGTGGTGGAACCTGGCACGCTGAAACATGAGGAACTGGGTGAGAGCGAGAACACCCAACTTCTACTGGCTCTAGACTGAGTTCTGCATCACCAACACGCACAAACGCATTTCCAAACTTCAACAGCACCAGAAACCTGCGAAGCACACAACACGCTTTAAACAAACAAACACACACACTCACACTCACTCTCTTTCTTTCTTTCTCTGTGTGCTTGAAAACAGGTCCTTCATTTTTCCAGACCAACTAAGGATTGTCACCAGCCACCTGTCTGTGCAGCCAAAGCTAAACAAAGACAGAGATTTCTTTTGGTGCAGGTTGCTAACTAAGATAAAGTAAGGAGTCTAGTTGTAAAAAAAAAAAAAAAATTAAAAAAAATGTGTTTTCCTTTTTAGATTTGCAACATTAAAATGACTGAAAAGCGAAGGACGAACTCCTCTGTACACATACAAAGAATGCACAGATGGATGTTTTTCTGAGTCATTATGCAGGGATGCGCTTTAATTTTCCTAAAACAAAGTTTAGATTAAGTGCATTTTAAAGAACAGTATCTTGAAGTTAACTTGTGCAGTCGAATTATTAGGTTTAATGTAGCTCGCAGACCTGAGATAACAGCATCTCCAATACCCTTCAATCCCTACCAAGGTTTTTTTTTAAAAAAACAAAACAAAACCAAACCCAAAACATCACCAGCATAATGTCATTCAACATTACAGTATGTGATATCATCCTGGCTGCTTGAAGGGTTCATTTATTTCTGTACCCTGAAAAGATTATTCTTTATTTATGAAGCCTTTATAAAACTGTCAGCTAAATGTAATGAGCTATGTGGGCAGCAGACACACACAATTTGAAATGCAATTACTTAATTTTACCAATGTATTTTTCCACAGGCAACTCTACAGCCTGTTAGCCCTGTGTGTGTCTGTAAATGTGTGTGGTGGGGAGAACTCTTTGGAAAAAATTCACTGGTGATTAATGGTTCAATCCAGATTGTTTCATTTAGGTCACTACAGCAAATGAAAGCTCTGCAGAGCCATTTAACCCTCTTCCCTCCTGCAATCAGCTAAAGGTATAGCCAGAAGGATCTGCTGATTGCAGATGGTGGCTGTGGTTAAATCGGAAAGGGAAAATTTAGAATGAATTATATAACGTAGTACTTTGACTGGAAGGAAATGTGGAAGAACAGAAATGTAGAACTGAAATGCCAAAGATCAGTTTGTTATCTCTCTCTTTGCTCTACTTGCAAAATGAATCCCATCCCCACACTGAAATGGAAATAGATAAAAATAATAATAAAAACAATCCACTGTTAAGAAATTGCATCTGCTGTGACTTTATTTCTTTAAACCATTGTACAATTTTTTTGCATGCACTTTCTACCTTTCATTCAGTTGTGCTACATGGCATTTATTAGAACAAGTGGTCCCTGCCCTTATGTCAAATAAGGTAATTGTAAGTCAGATACACAACATGAGTTGACAGTGGACAGCATAATACTCTTTTAAAAATGCCTCAGGGAGGGCCACATAACTTGTGAGTGGTACACTGAAGCGATGACATAGTTCAACTGGGAATAGTCATCCCTAATGAATGAAAATAAAATGTGCTACCTCTAACTGACATAGAATATCACATTTATACCTGGCCAGAAGGGGTCTGTCCGATACTATTATACTCAACTAGGGATTATTACAGCTGCTAATGTTACATGCAGAATAATTGCAGAAAGAGTATAATTTGTGTGGTTTGTATTTCTCAGCAGGATGGGGTAGATATAGGGCTTGATCTGCAAGGTGCTAAGAGCTCTGCAAGGTCATGCTGATGTCAACAAGTATTGAGGGCCCTAAGCACTTTGCAGGAATGCCCAGAACCACAAATGAGCACTCAGCATGTTGCCAGATTGAAGACATATATCTTAGTGATTCCCCCCCATTAAAATTCATGGTAGAATACACTAGGCACATCGTCAAGTAGTGTAACACAGCATAGCTCCACTGGCTTCAATGGAGACAGTACTGTAGTGTCACTAAAGAGAGATGCCTTGTTTTACACCTTCCTAGTTAACACATTTACCTGTGTTGCCACTAAAATGATACTCTCACAAGAACAGTGATGTAACATTTTGTAAGTCATGAGGTAGAGAGAAAGAAGACTAAGAAAATCTTAGCTGGGGAATTCTGCAATACATTTTAGTAGCCTGAGTTTATTTAAGTCAGCGTTGTGCAGCTGAAGTGTTTTGAAAGTTATTGAATTCATAGTCCATGAGCATCAGTGTCTATAAAAGGTAAGAAAGCCCTTTAAGCTGTTATGACTAAAACATACAATGGTGACATGAATAAACATCTGTGTTGGCCTGTAATACATATCCCAAAATATCAGGGCATGACTGTAAGATGGTGTTTCTCATTTAACTCTGTGCATAGGTACATGATAACTATGAACAGGAAAAAGAAATGCAATTTTCACTGACCTTATTGGTATGAGACAAACATTAGATTATACAGTCCTTCTCTGTCAAATTGTCTCCCTTTGTTGAACAAATATGAAGGACAAAATATTTTACTGAAGATATTTTTCACTTTAAAAATCATTTTCATTTGTTTCTTCCATTAGCATTTCCAATGTAGAAAGGTTCTTTCTTAGCATCAGTTTGCAATCTAAAAAGCTTAAAATGATGTGTCATGTATACACTGTACAATTTTATAGGTTCCTCCATATGCTTACTGGGTGCACAGCTATTCCAATAACTACGTCCAACAAAAAATAACGCTCTTGACTCCTTGCCCCCAAAGCACAACAGAAGTAATTTCAGTGGTGGAGAAGCTACTAATAATGAAGCCACATCATCCGCATTGCCACATCAAGGCACTTCTGTTTTTAATGCACAATAAAATGCTACAATAATGCATCCCTCACTATTTAATGAGCATTAATATGTTTATAGGTTCATGTTTAGTGTTGAGTGCTTTAATGTATTTGCCAATCATAATCCCAAATGATAAAGCATCTACCTTCAGAGGAAGAGAAAATAAACACTACTAAACAATAAGGGAACAAACGGAGCTACAAGAAAAGCATGGCAAGTTTTCACAAATTAAAACCTAAACAACATCTGTTACACCTCTAGAGAATGGGTATTAAATCCAAGCAATGGAAATTGCAATGTAGTTTAAGGTGAATTAGATATACTCTAAAAGGAAACAATTTTGGGTCAAAGCCAAACACTTCTATTCATTCTTTAAAAATTATTTTATCATTTATCTTTCTTACTCATTTTACAGTATTATAAAATATGCCATGCAACTAAACAATTGGCTGGAGAGGCTGCCTCCCACTGAGCCCAGTTATACTGAGCACCTCATTTATAAATAGTTCTCATATATCGTTCTATCAAATCCTCCCAATAAGCATTTTTACATGTTTCAAATTGTGAAATGAATATAATTATTTTAGGATCTCCTGATAATTAACCTGAGAGTTGTGAATTTCTTGTTGAGGTGGGTATATAGTTGTGTCTGGTTTAGAAAGCACACCCAAGTTTTTCTGGATCATGACTGGCTGAAACTGAAGTCTTGATCAGTGCATGATCATCAAATTTTGCTAATCCAAAAGGAAATAAACGTGCACAACTCCAAAAAATAGTTACAGCATCTCATGGCACAAACCATCATACAATGTGTTATATGGCACTATATGATCTAACTATTTAATAAATCCAAAATCTAAGTGACTCTTAGTTTATGGGAATACAAAGTTAAGGCTATTTTATCAACATTGCCACTGTAATGCAGTAAACAATCTCAGACAGTCTGATTATGAGCATATAGAGTATGTATGCATGGTGCTTAGATACCATGATATAAGGCACCTTAATAACACAATACATTTGACAGTTTACTGCAACATGAATGTTTCGCAAGCCTAAAATGGGAAGAGGCCTGTCTCCCTACTCTGGAGATATAACTAACAAAATCTAAGAGCTCTAATTTCTGACATGGAAGTTAATACATTGAAAACTATATTCAAAGCTGTTCTTATCTGGCTCTGCGTTCTAGCAGGAAGTCTGTGCTTCCAGGCAAGGATCAGAATTCCAAATCAGAATTTGGTCCTCTGCTCCCAGCTCAGAGAATTCTGTTTCTCTTCTATTTAGGTTCTTATTCTGAGGAATGACCACTCAGGTCAATCTAGAAGCAGCCCTTGGAAGGAGCTGTGTCCAACTCTTCTTGGACAGAAGATGGCATGACACAAGGGGCTTTGAAATGATAGGGGACATAGCAGTTAACTACATAGTCCTAAAGTTATTGAGCACCTGCAACTCCCACTTAAGACAATGGACGTCCCAGTACTTCCCAGGATGAGGTCCTAAAATTGAAGAGATCCTTATAGGTGAAGGAGACTTAAAGGATTCTTTCATTCTAGGAAAACAAAACTGATTGGATATCAGTTTTTAAACTCTATCAACTGGCAGTTAAATAATACAGGTTACTGTCTGCATTTCCAGATGGCAAGAAAAGGCCACACTTAGCACGTAGAGTTCCTTCCTCTGCTAAAAGCTGGACGTACACTTATTAAACATATTTTTAAAAAATTAGTGGTTCACAAAAGGAAATGATAAATGTATAGTTATGATAGAAAAATACAATTACCCATGTAGAAAAATACAAAATAAAACCATTCATTCACATTATCTACAGTTGATACTATATGCATATTGTTTCATACCTAAAACATTTATGATTAGAAATTGCATGAGAGAATTTCAAAGCTAGTTGTGTGCAAATGTTTATGCACATCTAATGTATACATGTCATTACCAGGTAGCAGTGCATGTACAAATCAGATATTTGTGCATTAACATGGCCAATAAGTACATCTGTGGTACTGGTACACATAATAGAGACATGTCACAAACATTTGCACATTCCTCATTTTGAAAATTTGGCCTGATAGCTCTTTGGCTGACAAGAGTATTATTATACTTGCAGCCTACAAGCAAATCTCTCAGATCAGTGCCATTTCAGTATGAAACAGAATGGAACATTTGTAGGTAAGTCCACAGTAACTGTGGAACAATTTCTTCATATCTTCTAACCTCTAGAAGGGTGACATTTTCCACATGGCCAGCCAAATTAATGTTGTGTATTTATATTTCCAGACTCCAATGGATTAAACCTCCTCTGTTTCTTGCATCAGAAATGACCTCTTAAATGGCAGGAAGGGTGCGTCTCTGTTGGGGTGTTAACTCAGGGTGCCACACATCCACAATGAATATCAGCCGATAACTGTCAGCATCCTGCCACACTTCATGCTCAAAAGAGTCGTCGAAGATAAGAACCTTCCCTTCTTCCCAGGTTCTGTAATAGAAAAGAACATCCTTTTTTATTGTGTTTTGGGCACCCATTAGTGGGTACCTATCTGGGCAGGTGTTTGTGCTGGAGATGCTCTTCTGTACATGGAGAAGGTAATCAGCATGTTTTGCATAAGGAATCTAGTACTACTTAAAGAGAAATGAGATGTCTGTATCAGAGCTCTGAATGAAATAAACTATAGAAAATTCAGTTTGATGTAGCTCCATTCACTGAGTTATACTTTTATGTTCTCTGTCTCTCTCTCTATGCATACAGGAATATACACTATATATATATATATATATATATATATATATATAATTTGTATATATCTTTTCGGGATCTGAGTCTAGGAGGCATTGAGCATCCACCCTTCTCAATTATCTGGATACTTTAAATCAAGTCTTCCCCCCCGCCTTTTTTAGACATGTGCCATTAGAGGATAATGGAGAGATGAGCAATAGCCAGCAACGTGGTTTTAAAAGAAACACATCATGTCAAACAAACTGGATTAAAAAAAAACAGAATTACAAAATTAAATCCTGGTTCATACTTAACGTCAAGAATGTGAGTAGACTCGCTGCATAAATCTTTGCAGGATCGGAGCCTAAGCGCGTGTCTACAGGGGAAAGCTGCACTAGCATAGTTTATTTCGGTATAATTATGCTGATATAACTAAATCAAAAGTGAGAGTCCAAGCTGCTCTGTCCATGCCCTTTTAAGCTACAGTAGAACCTCTGTTTTAGGAATTGGGGATTGAGGCATTTATAACATCAAAAAATCATAAAACGGAACATTTCAAAATGATAGTAGGTTTGGTGCATACATTGCAGCACTGCAGCACTTTCTTCTTGTCCTTCCACCCACTGCAAAGTGATTTCCAATGCCCTGAAAGCATTGGAATGTGAAGGGATGACAGCTTGTTCTTCACAGACATCACTTTCATTATGCGATTTTTTCCCCCCAATCGGGAACAATGGTTCATATGTCTGGTCATTTTAAAGACTGTTGTTCATAAAACCGTGGTTCTACTGTAGTTTGCTTGCTAAGCGCTGCTTCCATGGAGTGTGACACCATATGGAACAAACACATAGCACTCTGAGTGGGTATTCCAAGGTGCAAAGCATGGCTAGATGGGGAAAGTAAAGTTATTCCAGTGCAATTTTCCCATGTAGACATGGCCTTAGGCAGGGAACACAGTAAATATTACATGTTTTTTATTTTAGTGCAGAAAATTGATACTCTCTCACAAACCATAATACGTACAATTCGTTCAAACTGGCTTGTGTATGAGCAGTCACATTCTTTAACAACAAGCTGAAGAACAAAACTTAAAAGGACAATGATGAGAAGCAACGTATCAGAAGCAAAGGTACCTAATCGGTTGGAAGGATCAGAGTTAGGTTCAGTTTTAACATCTTCATTAATGACCTTGAGAAGGAGTTTAACGGCATGTTAATTAAGGTCTCAATATTGCAAAGTCAATGGGACACTTGAGTGAGTATAATCATCCTTGAGTGTGTATCACTTTGCAAGACGAGAGCCTTAATTCTGAGGTGCTGAATTAAGTATTGCAAGTGAGGACAAAGAAATAATACAAAGGGAAGTTGTGACACATGGCTAGAAAGGGTTAAACATCCTGCAAAATAAATAACCCACAGAAGACAGATGGGGAGATAATGTTTGTGTTTTTGTACATTCACATATGTATGAGTAGGGTGGACAATGTAACCAACAGTCCCTGTCTATGCTGTATTCTGATAATTTAGAGGTCAAAAGAACATACTAGCATGTAAATGAATTGTAAACACAGGATATCTCAGTATTCATCTCTCTTTGAAATGTACTGTGAATGGTGGAGGAACAAGCAAATGGCCTTACATTAATTTGTACAGCTAAGTACTGGTGATGGACCTCCTTCAAAGCCATCCTATAACTACCTTTTGTTCCCTGAGGAATTCCAACTTGTCAGAAGACATGAAATTGTATAAAAGATCCTTGGGTCCTGATTCTGTCATCTCAGATCCGCTTAGACTTCATCAGGGGAAGTTTGAGTCTCAAGTCTGAGGTCCCAGTTAAGCTGGTACGCCCTGAATAGGAGATTTGCTGTGTACTCTCAGCGGAAGTCTCCTTCAGCAGTACTGCTGTCTGCCTTCTCCTTCCCATTGTTTCGCTATGCCTCAGTTTGTATTTTTACCCCGATGTATTAGGCTGCATTTTTTCAAGCTGAACCTCATTTTATTTCCTGTCCATGTTTTAATCTCTTTACCTCTGTGACCGGGGCCCTAGTGGGGAGCAAGCTGTGGTCATTCAATTATGCAAATAATGGGGCAGACAATCCCCATAAAGATGGTTCCAATACCTAGATTCACCAAGCCAGCATAAAACAGCTTCTTTATTACCTCACTGGTTACTCAGAAGTCCAAACAACACAATTCCCTTAAATATTGTCATTTGGGGTGGGGGGAGGAATTGTGTCTTTGGTAATGAATATTCAGCTTCCGCTGAAGTAAACTGGAGCTGTACATGTCAGTGTAGCAGAACCTGGCCCTTATACATTAGTTTTACATTTTTATAAGTGAATTTAGTGTGTACAGAACGTGCCAGACTCAGAGCACTAGGGACTGAAACCCTCTCTGTACAGAGTAGTATCACCACCAGCTTCCCTATGCTTCGCTGACAAGTACCAGATGTGGAGGGACCAGTGCAACAGGTGAGAGGGTAGTTCAGTCTCCATGCCACTAAGCTGTCCGCTCAGATTATGACAAATAAGGATGTCAGTTGTGATCATGGATTGAGAGTTGTGGACACCGGTACACTCGGATCTGGAATGAGACCCACCACTTTGTTTCACACAGGTCAACGAACAGCCATTTGATGACTCTCAGTGACTACTGCCCTGAATTCACAACAGTGACCGAAAGGTGGAAGGCTCCACGCTCATTAACAAGCCTCTAAGCCATCTAACCACCACTCCCTCCTGCCCAAATGTGTACAGTACCTTCAACCTATTTCAAATACTGAGCCGGAAAGCTGAGAACAAACGTATTCATCAGTGATTAGACAAAACATACTACATTAGCTGTAATGCTGACACTGTGACGGACTATTTAAATGAGGTACATGCTGGCAGGAGTCCTATCACTTCTGCAAACAGCTAGATTATTAATAGTTGAAAACTCCTACTCTCAGAATTCTACAGATCATCCGCTCTGGTTGGTTTACAGAAGACTTCACTCAGCTACATGTTGTCATGATGCTTGATGTGTTTTTCCACCACCAAATGCATCTCCACAGTAGCAGCATGCACTCAGATGCTGTAAGAAATATACTAGCTCTCTGAAAATTCCTAGTGTAAACAACAGAACTCCAAGGGGCGGGGTTGGGGAGGGGCGGCTTCTGACTCAAAAAATAAAAATCTATAAGTGAAAGGCAAATTTTTCCAAGTTAAGGTAATTAAATTGCTTAACTTTCCATTTTGTTAGTTTTAGATTTTTGTGATTTTATTTATAATGCCATATGCAGGCATCAGATGCTACAGCTTGGTCTTTCATATTGTTTCTCTGGGGATTATGTTCCCTGAGCTCAAATATCTAGTTATTGTTTTTTAAGGTGAGCAAACAGATATTGAACAGGTCTGCAATGCAACGTAACTTTTCCTAATAGAAAGCAGTTTTTCTTCTTAATGCATTTTAAACTTAAGAAAACTTTTTATCAAATCCACATATTGGGCTAAATCCTCCGCTACTGTAAAATCAGCATAGCTTCACTACCTTTAACTTCAATTGAATTGAAGTCAATGGAGCTATGCCAATACGTACCAGCTGAGGACCTGGTCTATATGGGCAGACTAGAGTGCTCTTTATCCACAGCAGTAAAGAAGTAAACCGAGCTGCGGTGAAGAATCTAGATTTTGCTGATCAAGATGACTGATCTCCAAGCAGGGGAAAGGGAAAAATGGCATAACTCTTGCATTCAACTGGTAAATGTCATTGGATTAACGGCCTGTGATTCAAAGCCTTTGGGCTATGGACACAGTTACTAAGAGAAAAATGGCTGTGGCATGAAAGAGCAGGTTTAATCTCAAAAGAGTGTTGGGTCACTGCATGACAACTGAAATTCATTTATTTGTAACAAGTTCTAGGGACCAAACTGCTTGTTATATATTTTAATTGAAGACCCCTTTGCCAGCAACCCAAACACATCAGAATTGTCTTTTTTGTGTTGTGGGTCACATCTGAAAACAGGTGCACTCCAATTCTTTAAGCCTTAGGGATGAGAAGGAAATAAACATACCTGTTCTCCTTGGCACATCGAATTCTGCAGCCTTCTTTTGGTATAACCAAGCCCAAATGCATCCTCAGCCTACAGTTAGTAGGCCCTGTGTGAGGCCAGACATGAGTCCCTGGGTGCATGACGGAATACTTGATCTGCAAACAGAGATACAATTCTTTAATCAGGTCATTTTCACTAACCCTCTACTAGAAGAACAGAACTTTACTACAGCTGATTCAAGATGAGTCATGAGAGCCCAGCATTGCAGTATCCAGTGTGGCTGGAGCTGTGTCTGACCCCAGATATTAGACAGACTAGGTGGGTGAGCGAATATCTTTTATGGGACCAACTTCTGCTGGTGAAAGAGACAAGTTTTTGAACTACACAGAGCTCTGCTTCAGATCTGGGAAAGGTACTAAGGCTATGTCTTCACTGCCACTTATGTCAGTATAACTTATGTTGCTCAGGGGTGTGAATAAACCAGCCCATTTTCTTGTGTGAGTTCATCTGAGAGCATAGCGATTGTCTGGTTTCACCCACATAGCTGTTATTGGCATAGGCATCAACTTCTCTTTGCACTGGTGGGTGATCGACCCCCACCCATCCCGACTCCACCCCTGCCCCACCCCCTTCCCCCCTTGCCCTGTCCCCATTCTAACCCCTTCCACAAAGTCCCCACCCCAACTCCGCCCCCTCCCTGCCCCTACTGGACTCCTTTCCCAAATCCCCACCCCGGCCCCACCTCTTCCCCTGAGCATGCCACTTTCCCCTTCCTTCCCCCTCCCTCCTACAGCTTGTTACACCGTGAAACAGCTGTTTTGTGGCAGCAAGCACTGGGAGGAGAAGCGGGGACACGGCATGCTCAGGGGAGGAGGCAGAGGTGAGCCTGAGCGGGGGGATGGGGCAGGGAGCTTGGCTGCCAGTGGGTGAAGAGCACCCACCAATTTTTCCCCATGGGTGTTCCAGCCTTGGAGCACCCATGGAGTTGACACCTATGGTTATTGGGGCATTTAGTGCACTGGATGAGGTACACCACATGTTGTGACAGGTATGTGTAGGACCCATGGATTTTGAAAGCTGTGTTGTGTGGGGTGTTGATCATTGTAGCCGTGGAGATCAGTCTGCGGGTTTTACATCTATTGTTTTAGCAGGGTCTGGTGCTGCTTTGAGTTGGTGTGTTTCGGTCTGTGGGAAGCTTGCTTCTGATAATGAGCTTGGAGAGGTTGCAGGGTTATCAAGGTTCAGGAAAGATTCTTTCAGGATGGGTCACCACTGAGTATGGGTTATAGTTGTTTGATGATACCTGTGTGGGTTCCAATGAGGGTGGTATGTAACAACTAGGGTGTGCAGTCAGAGGGGTTTTTATTTCTGTATTGAAGTAGGTCCCCTTGGGGTCTCATGGAACAGGCCACCCAAATATCCCAAGAGAACCTTCTTCAACACAGAGATAAAACCCCGATCAACTGCACACCTATGGTCCCACCCTGGAACGCATATGGGGTATCATCAAACAACTTATGCCATACATATAATTAATAAGTACTGTACCACACATACATTATTAATATATAACATCCATAAAACTGCATTAAAATAATGTTACGTTTGTAGAGTCAAGCATTCAAAACTTAGGAAATGCCAGAATTAAATCTGCCCACGCTACTTTATTTGACTCCGTTATGATATGCGATAGGATAAAATCTTTATATGGTATCACATACTATTTTTTCCACAGGATCTCTGTCTTGTTCAGAAAATGAGTAGTTAATTATTCATTTTTCCCCCCTCATTCAATGTGTCCCCCCAGACTTTATTTAATGCACACCATCCAATCCCTGTGCTGAATAAAAAATTATGAATTTCCTTACAGGTGTTTCTACAATGCTCTCCTCATAATAACTGAGTGCTTCAAAAACATGAACGAATTTATCTTTACAACACCCTGTGAGTGTATAACTTTATTTTATGGAAAGGGAACTGAGGAACAGAGAGAATTCTTTAACAGGGTACTAAATGGGAGGAAGCAGTAGATGAAATATAACTTGCTTTTAATGAGGTTTTTGACACAGTCCCACACAACATTCTCATAAGCAAACTAGGAAAATGTGGTCTAGACTAAATTACTATAAGGCTGGGTGCATAACTGGTTGAAAGACTGTACTCAAAGAGTAGCTAACAGTGGTTCACTGTCAAACTGGGAGGAAGTATCTAGTGGGATCCTGCAGGTGTCTGTCTGGGATCTGGTACTGTTCAATGCTTTATTAATTACTTGGATAATGGACTGGAAAGCATGCTTATAAAATTTGCAAATGACACCAATCTGGGAGAGGTTGCAAGAACATAGGAAGATAGGATTAGAATTCAAAACAACCTTGACAAATTGAGAATTGGTCAGAAATCAACAAAATGGAATTAAATAAAGACAAGTGCAAAGTACTACACTGTGGAATGAAAATACAAATGGGGAATAACTGACTAGGCAGCAGTACTCCTGAAAAGGATTGAGTTATATTGTGAATTGAGTTATTCAATTAGTTATTGTGGATAACTAATTGAATATGAGCCAACAACATGATGCAGCTGTGAAAGAGACTAATATCATTCTGGGGTGTATTAACAGGAGTGTGGTATGTGAGACACAGGAGGTAATAGTCCCGCTCTACTTGGTGCGAGTGAGGCCTCTCCAGGTTATTGTGTTCAGTTTTGCATGCCACTCTTTCAGAAAGATATCGACAAACTGGAGAGAGGTCAGAGGAGAGCAACAAAACTGATAAAAGGTTTAAAAAACCTGACCTATGAGGAAAGGCTTAAAAAAAGGGGTCTGTTCGTCTTGAGAAAAGAAGACTGAAGGGGGACCTGATAACAGTCTTCAAAAAGCTTAAGGGCTGTTATCAAGAAGTGATCAATTATTCTCCATGTCCACTGAAGGTAGGACGAGAAGTAATGGTCTTAATCTACAGCAAGGGAGATTTAGACTAGAGATTAGGGAAAACTGTCTAACTATAAGGTAGTTAAGCACTAGAATAGGCTTCCAAGACAGGTTGTGGAATCCCTGTCATTGGAGGTTTTTAAAAACAGGTTAAACAAACACTTATCAGGGATGGTCTAGATATACTTGGTCCTGCCTCAGCAGGGTCCCTTTCTGAGGTCCTTTCCAGACCTACATTTCTATACTTCTTTAAATTTGGAATGCTTGACTTTGCACCCCTAGCATCCTTTTAATGCAGTTTTTGGAAGCAACTTCCTAATTAAAACATTGAAAAAAATGACATTTCATCCTGTAGAATCATACTGACCTAGCTCGGGCCATCAGCTGGGTCTGGACATTTAGATCCTCAACTAACTGAGTAATTGGTAGCAGGAATAGGCTGTTACTCTCTATGTGGACCAGGCACTTGGCAGGGAGATACACAGCATCCTGTGGTGAGTCTTAAAGTTGCCTTCCAGAGGCAGAAACCTGAGGAAGGGCAATGGAAGCGGCACTACTACCTGCCTGCCTTGAGGTGAATCTTCACGCTGACCCATGAGCCAGATTGGTGCAAGTGGGTATCGTTTATAACTTCCTGAACCAGCTGCAGTGGATCTGGCCCACGGAATGAACTCTGCTCTAGTCAGTGTCCCCTATGGGTACAGTACTCATCAGCATCACCTTGCCCCACCCTCTTGGATTGCAGTAATGAAGCATGTCAATAAGTACCTGTCCTCTTCGGCACCCTGTAGCCTCAGGGAATCTTTCCAAGAAAGCACATGTTTTAGGGACGCCTTTACAGGCATTTTCATTTTTTCTTCCTAACAAAACAAATTGGCAAGTGAAACACTAAATGAATAATCGCTACACTTCCCACTCACATAAGCATGTTTCATCCAAAGATTTCAAAGAGCTTTCTACAAAAGCCAGGTAAGCGTCACTGTCCCCATTTCACAGAAGCAAAGAGAGGATAGACACTGAAACTAAAGCAAAGAGAGATGGCTTGCAATATTATCAGTTTAAGTTATAGCACCCTGCTTTTAAATCATTCATTTAGGGTATGAGTCATAAGACAATGAATGAGGCTTTATGGGGAAAAAGAGATGAAAGTGACTCCCATTAAGACAAACTATACCTCAGTGTTGAAATGATATATTTTAAAGTTCTTTCTAATGTGTAAATCCCTACACTACTTAAGGTCATTCCAACATTCAGGCCTCCCACATCACAGCTCAGAGAAAGAGCAGCTGGTTTATTAAAACATATACTGTAGCTCATATCATTTCTGAATGACAGAATTTAATCTGGTTGGTGACAAAAGACTGGAGATACATTTTTTCCTTCCCACCTTCTCTCCATCCTCTGGGCTGATTTGTACTTGTGCACTACTGACTTTGCTAGAACAAAATCTTGGCAAATTTGCCAAGAGATGGGTATTGTGGTGTTGGATTCTGCAGGTGCTCCTGGGCAATGTGATTTATCATAAAGAATTCTTGCTCACTATGCTCAGGGTGCAAATTCCACAGGCTCAGATGACAGTTCAGGAAACTTAACAAAATAGCATTGGTTTCGTAAAGCTATATTACTATTTCTTATTACAGAATATGGAGTGAACGAAGGGGAGGGGCCAATGAGAAGGAACACTAATAAATAGGTTACTTACCTTGCTGCCACAATGTGAACTGGCTCCAATCTCCCTTTTCTCGCAGGTTCTCATCTTCAGGTAAGAAGAGGCCTTTTCCTTTATCCATCACAGAAAGCCCTTCATCACGAATAAGCTTCCAGTTTTTTTCTAGGGACTGTAGTGAGAACCATCATTATTATTCTGAGAATTTGTGTTCAGTTTTAGCACCTCTTTAGTTTTTCTGCTTCTCTCTCTTTTTTTAATTTAACAGCAGTAACAGCGTTCATCATTGTCAAGTTTCCTTACTTTCAGTTTTTGTGAAGGCATTTTAAGGCTGTAAAAACAACCATCATGTCATTCTTCAGATTCAATTACTTTTGTATCATAATAATTTCAATAATCCCCAGCCAGCTCACAGACTGGCCCCCACTTTAATTTGCTTTTTCATTAGCCTAAGGGCTGTGTAACATATCATTTTATATTGCAAGCTAACAAGAGTGCTGATGATCTGTTCACTCTCAGCACACTAGTACTTGGCATACTCTCGAGACAACAAGCCCACTACCATAATCTGAAACTCAAAACGACCAACTGAGTTTTACGGTTCAAAGTGGAACAATATAAGCACTCTACTTAACTCTGCAATTATAAGTTAAAACTTCAGTGAGGTCTACTAAGCTTCATTTGCGTACTCTGATACCTTCCTTGAAAAGGAAGATAATATTTGACTTGAAATTCCAGCAGAAGGATTATATACACAGTCACTGAAAATGGTGGAGAAGTTTAAATCATAAACATCTATCCTCTTTTTAGCCAGTATGCATTCAAAACTGAATCATTCTTCAAAAGTTAGTATGAGAAATTTAAAGCTCTACTCTTCTCTGCTTCCTTAGGACATTATATTTGCATAGAATCTTATAAATTACAGAATTAATATTCTAATTGTAGCCAGTAATTTTAATCTTACAGTCGTATAAGTGAACACAGTAACAATTGGACCTAATGATACAAAAATGATTTCTATTTCCCAACCATTTACTTTGTTCACTGAACCACATTTTGCATGAGCAATTTTGCATTTCCTCCTCCAATTTTTGAAAACAAAAGTATTTGTGTAGGAATATTTTAATTCATTTCAACATGGGCTCTTACTGGTTCGTCTCCATATCATCTGTTTGAATGTGATGGGCTAGATGCAAGGATTGCTATGAGAAATTCTAAGATCTGTGTTCACGCAGGAGGTCAGAGTAGATGACCATAATGGTCGCTTCTAGCCTTAAAATGTGTGAATCCATGACATTTCCATTTCAGTCCAATGGCTGCCTTGCCACTTGACTTTCTTCAGTTAAATGACAGGCAGTAAGCGGAGCCCAGAAAATGGATACCTTGATACAACTGCAAAGTGAAGATGTGATTATAGCATGGATAGGTATGTTTGTGTTAGCTTTAATTTAGCTAGTACAGGTAACAATAGTAGTGTAGACATAGTGGCACCATCTAGCAACCTGAGTACATACCCCAGCTGGCTCCGAGAGCATGCCAGATTGGTGCCAGCTTTGCTAGAGATAGTATGCTGAAAATAGCAGCGTGGATGTTGCAGCATAGGCAGCTGCTCGGCCAATCACCCAAGCTTGTACATGGGGGTCGAAAAGGTTAGCTCAAGCCCAGTTAGCACCAGTCTGTCTATTTAGACTGGGAGGCACACTCCCTGCTGCAACATAGACATACCCGGGAGGGACTGGACTCTGATTGCTATGCCATGCTGAAGTCCATGCCACCACATCTACACAGATATTATTATCTGGCTAACTAGATCAAAACTAATCTGGTTGTGCCTACCCATGTGACAATCAGACCTTCACTTTGCAGCACAGATGTATCTAAAGAGCTTTAGAAGTACAATTCCTAGAATTCTCTAGGTTTTCCACAATAAAATGATTGACTCTTACCAGCTCTTTTATGAGTGTGTGTGCCAAGATCTAGGAAAATTAGGATTGTACTTCCTGTCTATTGTAGATCTCCCTTTTTTTTTTCTAGTGGCTAGGAGTCTCTCTCTCTCTCTCCCTCTCCAATATAAGAGACAGTGTTTGCAATTACTGTGCTTCCTACTGTGCTCATTGTAGCCTCTTTTCAGGTGGGGTTCACTACAATCTTCCTGTATACTTAACTCCAACAAGAAAAAAAATCATTTTCCAACAAAAACTACAGAAGCTTTACTTTTCTTATTGGGGCGGGAGGGAGGGAAGCAAAAGTCCAATGATCAAACAAGTTTACAGACTCATTGCCAGCCATACATTGGTAAAAATACTTTACGCCTTCACTGCTTGGGAATCCAGGAGTATATGAGGGTAGAAAACATCCTTGACACATGCATGGGCAACAGATGGGTAAATAGAGGGATCAGATGCAAGCCTTATGAAGTCCTTTAGAGATTTCACCCTTCCACACTAGTATGACCTACATAGTGTCCAAACAGATGAGAAAGACTGCACTGCTTAGGTCTGATGGAAAAGACAGAGCTGAATTTAGAATACCGGTAGTAATGTAGTCCTAAATAGCTCACAGGCTTCCTAGTTGCCTCAGATGCATATCAAAGAGCCCTGCAAACCCTAAAGCAGGGTACTTTATGGATATGCAGTTTCATATCATCCGCCTCTGAGACTTTTTGGAAAGGCTAGAATGGAGCACTGAAGACAGTGTTGTTAACCCAAGCCAGAATCGGCAGGTGAGTTAATACCAATTCATGTTCAAAGCTATAAAACGCTGTTGTTCCAGATGAAAGTACTATCGTGAATAACTGACCACCTATTGGCAGGAACAGAGGAAGGACACCAATGCAGCTTGACTTTATACAGGCCATAATTTAAAATAATACAGGTCAAGAAAATCAGAAAACTCTAAATGGTGCCAAAGGTGCTTTGTGACAAATGCCTCAATCCTCTGGCCCAAAAAGGAGAGGCTGAGACTGGGCAGTGATTAGCTAGAATATCAGTATCAAGCATTTCTTCCATTTGAGCAAGGATCTAATGCAAAAGGTCTGTATCTTTCCCTCCCAAAAGGAGATATTGTTAATCCCTGACAATAACTGGTCCAGCACCCATCTCTTGCTAATATGAAGAGCATGGGTCTATATCACAGCTTGTATGTAGCATCTTCCCTACCACTTCTAGAGGTTTGTAAGCAAACCAGGCCAAAATTCAACTGGAAGGTCCTTTTACTTTCCTTTTAAGACTCTGTCTCCACAGACCTGCGGACAAACTGATTTGAATAGAACTGAATATGTCTGCAAAGCAACTTGATAATTCTTCACTACAAGTAATATTCACATCTGTCTCTTATCAGATGGAAAGTGGATTCAGGAGCCTGAGCACTACGTGGAAAAGTTCAAACACAGCTCGGTGTTTATCTCCAAGACCCTGGTTTTGAAAACACTTACACACATGCTGAACTTTAACTATGAGTAAGGCTGCGAGTTTCTCAGGGAGGTCACAGATTCTGTGACTTTCCGCGACTTCTGTAGTGGCCAGCTGCACCGGCCGCTGCTGGGGCAGTCTCAGGCCACCACCACCACCCCAGCAACAGCAGGAGTTTGGGTGGGGAGCTCAGGGTTGGGAGTTGGGGCGCGGGAGTGGGTGAGGGCTCTGGGTGGCATTTACTTTGGGGGTGGGGATAAGCTCCCCAGAAGTGGCACTTCCCTTGGCTCCTAGGCCAAGGGGCTCTGTGCACTGCCTCCACCTGAAGGCAACACCCCCGCAGTTCCCATTGGCTGTAGTTCCCAGCCAATGGGAACTGCAGAGCCAGCACTCGGGAAGGAGACAGCACGCAGAGCTGTGTGACGTCACCATTTCCGGGGAGGTGTGGAGCTGGGTAGGGAGCTTGCCAGCCCCGCCAACTCCCCCCCCCCCCGCCCTCCCTGCCCCAGCACCAGTCCCAGGACACCCCCTCCCCCAAACACCCACAGCACCCCTTGTGTTGCCCCCCCTCCCCAAGATTTAGTCGGGGGTATATAGTACAAGTCGTGGAGAGGTCACGGGCCGTGAATTTTTGTTTACTGCCCATGACCTGTCCATGACTTTTACTAAAAATACCTGTGACTAAAACGTAGCCTTAACTATGAGTAGTCCTGTTGAAGTCAAGCACATGAGTGTTTGCAGGACTGGGACCAACTGTCTTGCTGATATTCCAAGTACTGGCATTTCCCAGGAAAATATTTAAAATTACCATACCGTATTATTTGCATAATTTCAAACAACAGGTTAAGACGAGCCAACTCTTTTGAGTTGTGATCCAATCTTGGTTCAAATCAAGAATCCAAATGTGAATAGTATCTTGAGTACAAGCATTTGTTCAATAAGAGCTGATTTCTATAAACCCCTACATGTTTTTTTCCTCAATGTCTTTTTCTTAAACAGTAATTGCATCTTATTATTGCTTTGCATCTGATTACACTGTAGATTTTAATTGCAAATACTGTACTACACCTGAGTATGGGTTCTCTTCACTTAATCTTGATTTTTAGAAAAAAAAAGAGTACTGAACACAACAAGAAATCCTCACTCTGAGTTTCCAAAGCCTATTTAATCTATAAACATCACCAGTGTCACAAAATAAATGTTTAATGCCTTTGCTCTTTGCAAGACAGGCCTTTCCTTAAAGTCTCTACCCACTTTTTTATATTAAACAGTTACTCCTCCTAATTTACAACTTAATTTCACCATTCAGTTTTAACCTTTATCCTTTGTTTTCTAAACCATTTCAAACCTAGGTGTCAGCACGACCTGCAAAAGGTTCTATTTAACCACCCAGCACTCTTTTCAAGGCCAATTATGGATTGGGGATATGTGGTAGGGTAGCTACCGCTTTCATTTTCTTCCAGCTGAGGATGGCTTGAATTTCTTAATTAGTAAAATCCACATTGCCAGAGAAAACAGAGAGTACATGATCTAGTTTAATCAATCATTTCCACTCAGTGTAGTACATTGCTGGCAAAGTATTACTGGGATCCTTTCCAAATGTCAAAGCTACAATATAAGGAAAGGACAACATTATTTGTGTTGGTACGTATTTAGGACTAGTGAAGATTATTTCAGGATACAAAAAATGGCTTACCTTTTGTACATTTTGAATAAGAACTAACTCAACAGAAAGTAAACATATATTGGATTTAAATAAAAA